GGCCATATTAGTAGACAAGCGAAACGCTGTGGACATAGTATACTTACATTTCAATAAGGCATTTGACAAAGTAGACCACAATCTACTGCTTGGTAAGCTAGGAAAAGGTGGAATAGACAACATCACCACCAGATGGATATTTAGCTGGCTTACAAACTGTGCTCAACAATAGACCTCAATGGTACTACATCCACACGGAGAGAAGTAAGCAGTGAGATACCACAAGGCTCCGTCTTAGGCCCAGTACTCTTCAATATCTTCATTAATGACTTAGATGAGGGAATAAAAAGGGAACTCATTAAATTTGCAGATGACACTAAACTGGCAGGAATAGTCAACACCCCAGAAGACAAGTTCAGGATTCAAAAAGATCTTGACAAAGTTGAACAGTGGGCTCTATCCAACAAAATAAGTTTTAATGTGGAGAAAAGCAACGTTTTACATTTAGGCAGGAAAAATGAGAGATATAAGTACAGATTAGGTGAGACCTGGCTCAGAAAGAGTAACTGTCAGAGGGACCTTCAAGCCCTAGTAGGCGATCACTTGACTATGAGCTAGTAATGTGCAATAGCCACCAAAAAAGGTAATACAATCCTGGGTTGTATAAAGAGGCATAGAATACTGCAACCAATTTTGGTCACCATACTACAAAAAAGATGTTGAGGTCTTGGAAAAAGTTCAGAGAAGAGCAACTAAGATGATCAAAGGCCTGGAGACTAAAACATGAAGAACAGCTACAAGGCTTGGGTTCAGCTACTCTAAAGAAAAGAAGAAATGGGGGTGACATGATAGCAGTATTCCAGTATTTGAGAGGCTGCAAAAAAGAAGAGGGGGTCGAATTATTCTCCAAAGCACCAGAGGGCAGGAGAAGAAACAATGGTTGGAAGCAGCGAAGCAACCTGGGATTAAGGAGAAAGTTCCTAACAGTGAGGTCAATTAACCAGTAGAACAGCTTGCCTTCAGAAATCGTGGGCGCTCCATCACTGGAGGTTTTTAAGAAGAGACTAGACAGTCACTTGTCTGAGATGGTATAGGTTCTCCTGCTTGAGTGGGGGCTGGACTGCAAGACCTCCAAAGTCCCTTCCAGCTCCTGTCCTGTCCTGTCCTATTCTGTCCTGTCCTATCCTATCCTACCACAGGTTAGCAGCTATTTTTGTCTTGCTTGATCTACCGTTTCCCCCCAAAATAAGACCTACACCGAACAGAAGACTTAGGTTCATTTTTAGTGTTGGGCCTAATATAAGCCCTACCCAAAAAATAAGCCCTATTTAAGAGCCTGCATGGTTGCCGGC